TATTAATCAAACTCATCAGTTAATTAAATGTAAGGAATTAGTTTTTCGTTTACCTCCATATGAAGTCCTCTACAATGCACAAGTCCCATCATTCCTGACCACTGATTGGAGTTATAGTTATGTCTAGACGGCAGCATTTTGGCTACCTCTGACTTATAAGCAAACTGTAATCTCCCTCAGTCATCCAGCACTTGAGACTAACTACCTTTTGTAGGTCCATGGCTTGATGCAGAGCTAATTGCATGAGAGAGATAAAGGAACTGCAGTTTTCCATCTTTCACTGATCTTTTTAATTCTGACTGGTGTAAAGACTGACAATTTTGGTGCATGGGGACAATGTGCTTGGAGACCAATATCAGGTCATGTTATTTCTGTTTGCCATACACCCCATTGTGTAGAATGGATGACTGGTCTTGCTTAAAATCCTTCATGTTTCTGTACAGGTGCTGCCAGTTTCTATATGCAATGACAACTGCTATCCTGGCTATAGCAGGAAGAAGAAGGAGGGAGAGAGATTTTGCTGCTATGATTGTGCTCAGTGTCCAGAAGGAAAGATCTCACACCAGAAGGGTAGGAGGAGTAATCAATAAATTTTATAAAATACACAGGGAACAGAATATAAAACAACATAACCTAGAGTCACAACCCTCCAAGCAGATCTTAATGCACTCATCAATTCAAATAGGATCTTGTGTGTGTGTGTGTGTGTGTGTGTGTGTGTGTGTGTCCCTAAGAAATGTCAGACTTTAAAAATTATCAGTCAGTTTTTGAAAGGGGTCTGCAAATGTACTAGAAGCTTCAAGAGAAGAGAAATATGTTCCTAATATTTACTTCTGAATAAGATATGAGCTGCCACATTTTGGAACAAGTGAAATTTCGAAATCTTCAAAGGAAACCCCTGGTGGACTGCATTGCAGTAATGCATCCTCAGTGTATTGAACACATGTATTGCCATAGCCAGATAAACCTTCTTTAGGAATGGGCACAGTTGGTGCACCAGCCCAAACTGGACAAACATACTCACCCAAGGCTACAATGTCCACCTGGATGTGAAAGAGCAAAACTATTACAAAATTATAAGTAAGATTTAGCAAAGCTAAGCATGTGGTGATTGGTGCAATTTGCATAGACAGTGGGAACAACCAACTTGCATGGCACTGCCTGTTTCTGCTCAAGGCTCTCCTCCCCTGGAAGAGGAGGGTGGTGTGGGGCGGGCGGCTCCGCCTAGCAGGGCATTGGCCCACGCCTCCTCCTCTCACCTGGCCTGGCGCCACCTTATGGCTCAGCCAGGTGGCAGCCGGCGCGATCGTAGGCCTGCGCCAGCTTTGACTCATGTGTATATAAACCAGGCGCCTCGCGACTCGCTGGCAGCGCAGGGTCTTGTTCTGACATATCTAGGGGCCTGGCCAAATTGTGCCATTTGGGCGATAGCTCTGATTTTCCATGCGCTGTCGTCACAGCTTTTTGTGTCGTTGGAATGTGTCGTGGTGTGTCAGAGAGGCGGAGTGTACGCCTATGCCATTTCGATTTTGGGTGTTCGTTAAAGAATCGGCGTGGTCGTGCTCCTGGTCGATGCTGGCTGGAGGCCATGTACGCACGTTAGTCGGCGGCAACGGCTCCGCTGGCTGGTGAGCATCGAGCTCCGCTGATGATCAAGCACTAAGCCAATACCTTTTCACTGCTGTAATCAATAAAGTTGTTGCCTTTTCTTGCCCATTAACCTTATATCACGTGTCCTTGTGTATTTATTTCACATCGCGGGGGTCGGGTCCTTGAACCACAATATTCAGAAGTGTGTGTGTGGCTTGATGCCATCATTGAGATAGAAAGGGAATAGCAAATTTCTGTTTATTATACCAAACTAATTTTGATTTGTTTATTCACACATAGCATCCCTCATAGAAGACTTTCACCTAAAAGCCTTCACTTCTGTGGCTTCCCCAATAATGGGAAGTAGGTAGATGGTGATTTAGCAATAAATCACTATATTATTTTTAAGTACATTAGTGGGAATTTTTGACTTGGTTATTTAAAAATGACAATAGAAAGGCTTTTATTCTGAACAAGACTGTTAGGATTTCTAGAATCTCTTTATTAAGAAGCAGATTTGCATTTGAATATAAAGCTGACCTTTCTCCACCTCTTTCTCTCTCCCACCTGCAAAAAGCAGACCACTTTGCAAAATTTTCTCCAAACATTCTGCACCATATGTTGTGGTGGCCTCAATTTCCCCCACTCAGTGCTCTGGAATGATTCAAGTGGTACAGACAAAATAATGCACAGGTTGCCAATGCATTTGATGGCCACTTACAGCAGCAGGCAAAAAAACCCCACATCCTTTTGGGCTGGTTATACAGGAAGGTGCTCTAATTACTGCTAATGGGGATTTGAAGCCCAACACTGAGGGACAAGCATAAAATTTCTACCTCTGCTAGACAAATTTGGTGCAATTATCTTCTCACTTCCCCATTACTCTGCTTGGTCATCCCAAGTATATGCAGTGCATCCCATCAACTCACCAGTAAGGTGAGACAGCAAATTTTCTTCATCTGTGAGACATGATCTTAATGCACATGTGTTCCACTGAGATAAATGTCACTTAATTAAATGTCACATGATTAAATGTTCATATCCATTGTAAATGAATCAATGTATTCCATTCTTTGCATTCATTCCACAAGCAGAATCAAGTCAGTGTGCTTCCGAAACTTCATGGATGGTCCACCATCCCGGAACTGACCAGACCCAAACTATTACAGTTTCAGAAGGCTAGCTGTGCAATGTGCCTTCATACCATGCTCTGGGATTAAAGGGCTCTCCAAACTCAAATACAATAGTAATAATAATAATTAGGCATGTGAAAAGTGCTTTTTGGATGTTTAAAGTGCTCCACATACACTATCCCAATAACATCAATAACAATCTTGTAAATTATACATGAGAATTAAGACTAACAAAGAACAGCATTTCCAAGGGTCACCTTCTATGTTCATGACTTGAGAAGAGGTCTGCATCATACAAAAATTGTGTCACAGAAAACATTTAGTCATTACCAGATCTGCATGATCACCAAGCACTCTCACTTTCTCTTTGAAATTATGGGAATCCTTTCTCCTAGTGTTGGTCAAAGAAATGCAACATTTAAAAATTAGGGAGGTGTTGGTTAACATTTTAAAATACTTAAACAATTCCTCCTTTTTTTCAGACATGGATGCCTGTGTCAGTTGTCCAGAAGACCAATACCCCAACAACAGCCAAATTGAATGCATTCCCAAGATTCTAGTCCACCTTTCTTATAAAGAAACGTTAGGGAGCATTTTAACTATCACGGCTATTTCTTTCTCCTTAATCACAAGTTTAGTACTTGGAACTTTTATGAAGCACAAAGACACTCCCATAGTCAAAGCCAACAATGAGACCCTTACCTGCATCCTCCTCATCTCTCTCCTCCTTTGCTTCCTCTGCTCCTTACTCTTCATCGGACAACCTGGAAAGATCATCTGCCTTTTTCGACAAATTACTTTTGGCATCATCTTTTCTGTGGCTCTTTCATCTGTGTTGGCGAAAACCATCACTGTGGTTCTGGCATTCATGGCAACCAAACCAGGATCTAGAATGAGGAAATGGGTGGGGAAAGGACTCGCAAATTCTATTGTCCTTTCCTGCTCCTTTATTCAAGCAGGCATTTGTGCTCTTTGGTTATTTACATCTCCTCCATTCCCTGATAGAGACATGCACACAGTGCATGGAAAGATAATACTAGAATGTAATGAAGGTTCAGCAATCATGTTCTACTGTGTCTTGGGCTACATAGGCTTCCTGGCCATTGTCAGTTTGGTTGTGGCTTTCCTAGCCCGGAGGTTGCCAGACAGTTTCAATGAGGCCAAATTTATCACCTTCAGCATGTTGGTGTTTTGCAGTGTTTGGATAACCTTTCTTCCAACCTACTTGAGCACTAAAGGAAAATACATGGTGGCTGTGGAAATCTTCTCCATCCTGTCCTCCAGTGCTGGATTGCTTGGTTGCATATTTTTCCCTAAATGCTACATCATTGTACTGAGGCCAGAGCTGAATAACAGGGAGATACTAATAAGAAGAAAATAATAATATGAGAATGCTTATACAACTGGATAGCTCAGTTGGTTAGAGCATGGTGCTTATGACACCAAGGTTGCAAGTTCATTCCCCATATGGAAAGCTACATATTCCTGCATTGCAGGTGGCTGAACTAGATGATCCTCATGGTCCCTTCCAACTCTACCATGCTATGTATCTATTACCTGGTTTTATCTGTGTTACCTGAAAATAGTGAGGGAAGGGGTGTTATGAGAATTTATGCATGAGTGCTTGCCTAGGCAAATGTTGCTGCTCAAATTCTCAAGGGGTCCTTGTATGTTGATCCTTCTCTCTCACACACACTTTTGGCTTCAGCTCATCTGCAAGATGTTCTCCTCACCTTCGACTATTAGTAAGGCAAAAACAGTGTTCAGCATAGTGTCACTATTGTCTTTTTTCCACTCAGCATCATGGGATTTGTAGCTCACCATGACATATCAGTTGATAAGTCCTTTGCCTACACTTCATATGACCAAGCAACATTGAGGCAAGTAACTGTTCCACTTTGCATAAAATACCTGCGCACCTTTTTCTTTATTGAAACTCACCCAACCCCTAACTCAAACTGTGAACATGTTCTCCCAAAACATTTCCCACACACAATCCAGTTGCCTATTACAGTTCTCTTTCCGCTCTCTGAGTACATGTTTATGAATGGAGTGCATAGGGAACATCACTGATATTACTGCAGTAAGTTAAAGCATCTTTGAAGAACTGTTACCCTATTGAGGAAAAGAGATGCATCTGAAGTCCAAAAGACAGAAGGCTCATGAAAGTACAATAGGCATGCAGATGGAACAATGAGATATTCTTAAAGGGAAGAAAAAGCAAGTGCCAAAACTCCAGTGAAATATATAAGGCTTATGCTGGCAAGAGGGGGAAGTTCAGAGCCCAAAGACCTCAGCACTGACATCACATCCCAAGAAGGCATTGCCAGCCTTCACACACTCAGCAAGTTTAGGCCCTGCAACAAAAAGGGATACAAGATGGTTATTTCAGTGTGGCACCAGCAAGCAGTTTCCTGACAGACCCCTAAGCTTTCTATCCATAGCAAACACAGTAAGAATGACAGTAAAAATCACACTAAGAACAAAATAAATAAATCAACAATTTATGTTGCAAGCTAAATGACAAATTAAAATGCACACTTTGATTTCCTTCCTCCACTCTTCCTTTGCCTTTGTATATCCATCACTATTGTCCTTATTCTTATAGGCCGTTTGCCTCTCTCTCTCTCTCTCTCTCTCTCACACACACACACACACACACACACACACACTCACCTGTGCTCTCATGGAGCCATCCCACGGCTTTTGCCTCTAATAGCTGCCAGATATCACTACGTTCTGCAAAGTGGACATGTAGCCAGAGAACGACAAGAACTGTTGTCCATGCAGTTTGGACCACCTGAGATTATGTGCAGGGAAGGGGAGGAAAACAGCAAGTGATTCTCACTCATCCTGTCAGGGACACCTCCAATGCCCGCCCCCATGGAGACCCCCACCTTGGATGGATCCATGAATGATTTCTATCTTCAAGGGCCCATCGAGGTGAAGACACAGAAGAGCGTATGAGCTTTCCAAAGGGGGTTTGGGTTGGGTGTTCATCAGTATGCAGATGACACCCAGCTCTACCTCTCCTTTAAATCAGAACCAGCGAAGGCAGTGAAGGTCCTGTGTGAGTGCCTGGAGGCGGTTGGAGGATGGAAAGCGGCTAACAGGTTGAGGTTGAATCCTGACAAGACAGAAGTACTGTTTTTGGGGACAGGGGGCAGGCAGGTGTGGGGGATTCCCTGGTCCTGAATGGGGTAATTGTGCCCCTGAAGAACCAGGTGCGCAGCCTGGGAGTCATTTTGGACTCACGGCTGTCCATGGAGGCGCAGGTTAATTCTGTGTCCAGGGCAGCTGTCTACCAGCTCCACCTAGTACGCAGGCTAAGACCCTAGCTGCCCGCAGACTGTCTCGCCAGAGTGGTGCATGCTCTGGTTATCTCCCGCTTGGACTACTGCAATGCACTCTACGTGGGGCTACCTTTGAAGGTGACCCAGAAACTGCAATTAATCCAGAATGCGGCAGCTAGACTGGTGACTGGGAGTGGCCACCGGGACCACATAACACCGGTCCTGAGAGATCTGCATTGGCTCCCAGTACGTTTCCAAGCACAATTCAAAGTGTTGGTGCTGACCTTTAAAGCCCTAAACAGCCTCGGTCCTGTATACCTGAAAGAGCGTCTCCATCCCCATCGTTCAGCCCGGACACTGAGATCCAGCGCCGAGGGTCTTCTGGCAGTTCCCTCATTGTGAGAAGTGAGGTTACAGGAAACCAGACAGAGGGCCTTCTCGGTAGTGGCGCCCACCCTGTGGAACACCCTCCCTTCAAATGTGAAGGAAATAAGCAGCTATCCCATCTTTAAAAGACATCTGAAGGCAGCCCTGTTCAGGGAAGTTTTTAATATTTAATGCTGTATTGTTTTTAACACTTGATTGGGAGCCGCCCAGAGTGGCTGGGGAAACTCAGCCAGATGGGCGGGGTATAAATAATAAATTATTATATTATTATTATTCCAAATTATTCCAAACCTCAGTAGGCATTTTCCCCAGAATCTCTGCTTCACCCAGACCTAGTATACTGAGCAGGTTGGCATCAAGGGACCAGGAACCATCAGCATTCTGCAGGGAGACTAGCCTCAAGAGAAGTGATTCATTTGCTGTTGGGGAAATAAAGAAAAAAGTGCACACCTTGCAAGCATTTCCTTTATTCTTCCTCTGTTCTCCAAAGGGTTTTGAAAATCCACAAAAACAAAGAAAGGTCACAATCTTTGGAACTCGAGAAATAATGTATGAAAGTGTACAGCATTGTTTACGACACCATTCTGGAACCATTTGATACATGTTGTGGGAACCTTTGGGAAGCCTTGAATGCTGGGCCCTTAGAAGAAGAGGGATTCAGTACCACATGATTGCAAAGAGAATAATTACCCCACGGCCAGCTCCCAAGGTCTGGGCATGCTAGTCAAGCTTTCAGGCTTCCCAGATCTACTTTATGCTTTAAAACAGGGGTGGGAAACTTTTTAAAGCCACACTGATACCTGCCCAACAGGTAATATATAACATCAAGTATGAGGCACATGACCATGGTTCAGACCATATGGACAGGCTTAGTAGGTCATATTTGGCCCATGGGCCAGAGGTTCCCCACCAAATTATGCCTTGGATTGGAGCACATTTCTTTCTGTATCTGCACCCATTTGAACCATTCTTTAAGATTGGCATCCAAGGCTCATTGACCTGATGTCAAGTAGAGTCAAATTATCAGGCACTACACATAGCACCTTTTCAGTGGTGGGCCCAGCTTACGGTCTCCCTCTCTGAGCACGTACAGGCAAATCTCTGAATGCTGTTTGTGCCAGCTGGGAAGGAGAAGAGAGATGGGGGAGTCCAGCAAATCCATATGCATGTCTCTAGCTGGCAGCTCTACTGACCCTGATGTCTGTGAGCTTCCTTGGGATGGGGAAGAAGAGAGAAACACCAGCTGTAGCTTATTGCTACCCGTGTGTGTGTGTGTGTGTGTGTGTGTGTGTGTTTTCTCTGTTGCTACTGTGGATAAGGGAGAGAAGTGTATTACGGTGGATGCTAGGGGGCATTCGCTATACTGCTCAGGGTGAGAGCCTGGATAGTTTGGAGAGTAGGGGTAAAATATGTTAAGTTACTCAAAAGCCTCAGGGTGAGTCTGTTGGCACAGAGTGAGCCCTCTTTGAGAGAGAGAGAGAGAGAGAGAGAGAGAGAGAGAGAGAGACTGCCAAAGTGGGGGAATGAGGTGAGAACTGTTGCTAAGACTTTTCATTCTTTAATCTGTTTCAGTTTTTTTCTATCTAGGTATTTGGTTAAATTTGAAATATTAATTTTTACTGCTGTTTTGCTTGTTTACCTTGATAAATTGTTGTTTATTGGACCTGCTTATAATTTTTGTATCCTGTTTTTCTCTATTTATTTTCGTTACTTTGCTCCCCACTCTGGAATTGAAAAGTAAAAGTAATAAATAATAAATAAGTAAATAAGTAAATATGAGCCCTACAGTGTTAGCTTTAAAAGCAGACCTTTCTGTTCCAAGCTGCATTTAAACTATATTTTAGTGCTCTGTATTTAACTTCTATTTTCAATTTTCTATTTTCTCATTATTGGCTACCTTGATATTTTAGTTCAAGTGTATTTTTAATAGATTGTGGCTTTCTAGATTAATATGTTGTGAGAGCCACCTGGATGGGCTTTGAATTAATTATAAATTATACAAATGATAAATGCAAACAGAATAAATTCCACACGAATCATAAAGAACTGAGTCATCCCCATCTGCAAAGTTCCCCTCCTTCACTTTCATAGTCCTTTCCTTCTTTCCATATATGGAGAGATAAGGTGTGTGACAGAATCTGGATTTAAGAGTGGGATTTTAGTATGCATGGACACTTAAACCTTCTGCTTTTTTCCAAAAACCTATTATTAATCAACAGTACATGCTGCTAAATAGAGGTAAGTTATTGTCTCAACTCTCAAGCATGCTTATTTTGCATGCCCAACCATTTGTACACCACATAGTGATTCTGAAGAGCTCTGTGACTTAATCTCTGGAAGCAGCAAGTGGTCAGAGGGTGGGAAATCTCCTGCCACATATCCTAGTGTCTTGGCAATGACTTCTAATTGGTGGCGCTCTGCACCTGATTTCTCCCTGCAATAGACATTATCCTTCCAAGTTCTTGACCAAGATACTGATAAGAAGGAAAGGAGGGAGGAGAATCTGTAAATGTTAAGACTAAGAAATCCAACATGATCTGGGGTTTCTTAGCACATAAATCTAGACATGTATATAGTGCAAACTCACATCCTGTTGCAATCCTACACTTACTTGGGAGACTGGCATGCTCAAACACTGCATTTTGAGCATTAAGGAACTCTCCAGTAGTGGAATAACTTCTCCAACCTCTGGTACTGCTGGCAAAAAGGGTGGATGCTGAGAAATAGAGCTTTGAGGAAAATTCTAAAGCTCTCCGCAAAATACTCTCACATCTGGAAGGTTCGCACTTATATTCATAATAGCATTTATCACTTTGGAGTATATCAGCCCACACAGAGCCTAAAAAGAGATAGAGACAAGTAATACTGAAGTTGATGTTTTCTACCATATCCCAGGCACAAGACAAAGAAAATAGAGCAGGGGTCAGCAACTTTTTTCAGCTGTGGGCCGGTGCACTGTCCCTCAGACCTTGTGGGGGGCCGGACTATATATTTTTTGGGGGGAAATGAATGAATTCCTATGTCCCACAAAAAACCCAGAGATGCATTTTAAATAAAAGCACACATTCTACTCATGTGAAAACACTCTGATTCTCGGACCATCCGCGGGCCGGATTGAGAAGGCAATTGGGCCACATCTGGCCCCTGGGCCTTAGGTTGCCTCCCCCTGAAATAAAGGGACAAATAGCCACCTTAAGTGGAGGGGCCTCGGTGAGGAAGCCAGTCTACAACATTCTTTCAGCTTCTTTTACACCCATCCTACCGAACAGAAAAAATTCTCTATAGTCATTCTTAGCTCTTCTCCAGCTTTCATACCGTCACCAAAGCCCCTTTTCTTTGTTTCAGTATAAATCTCAGGCCCCCTATCTTGAAGTTTATCTACTGTTGTCAAATCACACTGCTCTGCTAGTTTCCTCCAAGTCCCAGTACTTGTTGATTTCTCTGGGTCAACTTTTTCACTGTTCCCCTCCCCTATAACGCTTCAGTGCTCCGTACTATTTGGATTTGGAATCTCTCTGAATTCAACAGGGGCTTGAAGTGTCTCGCCCCGTTCCATATTCACTACCACGTAAGCAGTCTGAGCACACAGCACCCCAGAGCTCAGGCTGGTCTCCAGCACCAGCTGCTGCTTTGCTGTCGATCTTGTTTCCTCCAGTTCTTTCAAAACAGCCTGAGCTGCCAGTCGGTGAACAGGAAGCCTGTGGAGAGACAAAGGGCAGGGAGGAAAGTGCAAGGCAGAATTTGAAGTGGAAGGTTTGATGGGTGGTGGTGGTGATGCCTTCATGGCTCACCCCTTTCTGGTATTCCCTGGGGGTGGGCAGCATTATAATAGACTGCCACCAACTTCAAAAGTCAATTTCATTGAAGATAAAGCCATGAATGGCTACTAGCCTTTATGACTGTGTACTACCCTCCAGTATCAGAGGTGATATTTTGGGAATCACAAGTGAGAAGAATGCTGTTGGACTCAGATCCTGCCTGCATGTTTCCTATAGGCATCTGAATTGCCACCATGCTCGATTAGAAGGGCCTTTGGCATCATCTCACAGGACAATATGTTCCTAAACGTTAGACAGGATGAAGCTCCTGCCTGAGTCTGCTCTGTCAACTGCGCCTCCTATCACCCCTGGCCATTGGCCATCCTGACTGGTGCTGGTGGCAGAATGAGTCCAACAACAGCCAGAGGGCCAAAGGTTCTTCATTCCTCCTCTCTTTATAATTTCTGTTTAATATATCTGGTCTCAAATTTTAGATTTCAGGAACGAATACATTTTTGATAGTTAGACAGTACTTTCCAATGCAGCTGCATGTAAAGAGCAAAGTGGGGAGGGGGAAAGCAGGGTGGGGAGTCCAACCTGTCATTCTCCTCTGCCTCAAGTCGAAAGTCCATCTTCTCTGTGAAAGTCTGGCCTTGCATGCTGTACTGGAGCACAACAGAACCCTCTGGGGGGTCAGAGGTCTGCAGGAAACAAATAAAAGCATCAGGTGAAGTAGTGCTTGACAATGGTGGGTACCCTGGGTGGTGTAAAAGGGCCATTAGTTCACAGGGACAAAGCCTAAAGAGAGACTGGCACTTTCCCTTCTTATTTTGGCAGACTTTAGAGAAATGAGCATGAATGTTCATGTGCAGGGCCAGCCCTGCCGTTTGGTAAACTGATGCAGTTACCTTAGAAGACAGATGCATTGGGGCAGCAATTTCTAGTTAATGTTAGGTTTAGTACAGGCTACATGTGGCCTTCCCCATAATGAAGAGAGAGAGCATCCCCATCCACTCTCAACCCATTTCCCTGCATTATCCCTGGATAAGTTTAGTTTCCACAAAATTATCATATCATTTTCCTCCACCACCTTTGCCCCCAACTCTGGTGGACCTCATCACACATCACACAACACATTGATTTTGCCCACCAACTACCGGTATGTATTCCACCATTATATTGGGCCTACTTGCCTGTTGCTGCCCACAGATCTGAGCATACATGAGGCAACGTTCCCCTGCAAAGATGGCCTGAGTGCTTGACCCCAGAAGCACAGCCTCGAGGCCAGGAGGCAAATGCCACTCTAGTTTAATGTGTTTCACTTCTGGCTGCAGAGAACACTTCAGAGATCGCAGTGCCTGTGAAACACAAATGATGTCACAATCAAGGGGGACGAGAGATCAAACATAGCTTGGGGAGAAAACTTATAGCAAGATCTGTTGGGATGGGCAGGGATAGGATCTGGTGGATATCTAGCTGAGCTCTGTATGAGGTTCCTGACACAGCTGTACCACACCAGCTTAACTCCCTCATCCTTGGCTCACCCAAGGAATACACACATATCTCCCTCTCCTGGTTTGGCTGGGACCCAATTGGCTGAGCAGATCTTATGTGTGAGCCCTGAAAAGGGGGTGTTTGGGGGTGAGACCATAGAGGGCTGTATCCCAGGCCTGCTCAGCTCAGTAATGAGACATGGCAACCGGGTGTAACTTAAGCTGGCAAAAAGGGTGGTGTAACTCAAACACCATTTTAAAAGCGTGTTTCCACCCTGCTAGGTAGAAGTCCAAAAACTACTGGATAGCCACAAGGTCTTAATCCCTGGTCTATTCTGATTGGCAGTAGCTCTCCAGGAGCTAAGACATAAGTCTTTCCTAGACTTACCTAGAGATGACAGGGATTGAACCTGAGGCATTCTGCATGCCCTCAACCACTGAGCTCTGGCTCTTCACCCAAGTGTTGGATGGGGTCTATCAGATCATGGTGATGAAGACAAAACACCAGGGCACTCACCTTGGCCTGCATTTGCTCCTTGCTCCTGATGAATTCAGCTCTGCCACCACTTGCTTCAGCAATGCCACCTATGAAGTATGAGGAAGTCCCTTCACCAATCCCAAAGGAGAAGCATCTGTATGACAGTGGGGGGAAAGGTCAATGCTCTACTCTATCCCATTGTGCATGTTTCCAGAAGTATCCACCATAGTATCATGACGCTCCTGGTGGGTAAAATTTAGTGTTTCTCAAGCACCACTGGGACCTGAAAAGGCTGGCACGATCCATCCCATACTTTCCTGCTTCCTCAAGTTTCCAGCCATGCTCAACCAGACTCTTCCTCCAACCCCATTTCATAGTTCACTTAAAATGAAATGTCAGTCACCCTACCACAATCTCATACCCTGTTCTCACCTGTGGGACTTACTGTGACTCTGAACTTCAGCAATGACCTGATCTATGTTAGATACCTCTCCATCTGTGAATACAAAGACCTGGAGAAAGATAGGGGTGTATAAAGTTAACTTGGAAGTCTGTGCACGCGCGCGCGCACACACATACACACACACACAAACAAACAAACAAACAAACAAACAAACACTTCTTCTATCCCTTGGGGAGGAACAAAGTTGTATTTATGTTTTGAATCCCTGGTTCAGACTTGCTTGCAGTTCACAGCAACTAGGATCAATTTTCCAGCCCACTGGATACATTCCAAATCCCTCTTGAGATCATAACCTGGCTCTCTAAAATACAGTAGTATATTATTTAATTTATTTCATAAACTGTATATACCACCTGATTGTAATTTTTTTAAAAAACCAAACAAAGGAAATCATTTGTTTTACGTGAATAGCCAGGGTGTTGTCATTTGAGCAGATATAAAAAATTTGGGGGGGGGTTTACATCTCCTACCTGTCAAACAGGGATGAAACTAGCTGAGACTACTTTTTTGCCCTTGTTGTATTGGTTGAGATTATACCATGAAAAGAGGAGATAAATAAAAGGCAATGGGTATGTAGCCGCATGGAACTGCAATTAATTTATTTCACATACATGAAGGTGTGATGAATTTACCTGACGGCCATATCCTTCTCTACATGGCTGGCTGTAAATGGCCTTCAGTGGTTGCAGAATCTCTGTGCCACCCAAATTAGCCTGCAGGTCCAACACCCCCCGCAGGGACTCCAACATGGTCTGTTGTGTGTACTTTACACTCTTCCTGCAGAGGTCATCAGAGAGTAAAAGTAATGCAAAGGACTGTTCTCCTGTACTATATTCCCACTTCCACACACCCATTAATCCCAGAGCTGCATACTTTATTTAACAAAGCCCAATATCAGTATAATAATTAAAAAGTGTGCTTTAAAAAAAAACGAATTTGTGGATGCTTGGCTCCCCAGAACCTAATGAAATCAAAAGCCAACCCACTTAGGTTTGCCAGTTTCTCTCTTAAATAGATGCTGGCAACAGGTATTTTAATTAATTGTCCACTTTTAAACCACTGGATCAAATTTGCTTAATTAGTATACTATGAACAATCAAAGAAGGTGCCTTAAAGGACAATTCTGAATAAATAGAACTGGGTGGCCTGAAGGCTGCATGCTGCCCTCGAGGCGTTTTTTAGTGGTCCTCGGGAACATTTGATCTCCCCCACCAGCCCTAATGCTACCTTCCCCTAGCCCTGCAAGTGAGATGCTGGGCTTTGGAAAAGAGACATGAGGGCTCTTTCCCAGCTTTGGAAAGGAGGTGGAGGCCCCTCTAGGACCCTTTGTTCACCCCCCCCAATGAAATTGCTAAAAGCAGAGAGCAATGAGATAAACCCTACACCTTGTGGGTAGTAGTCAACTTTCTCAGAGTACACCTACTGAAATTAACGAACATGACTAAGTTAGGGTCCATTAATTTCAATGGGTCTACTCTACACCCCCATGTATGTTTTAGAGATTTTGATATTTTAGAATCTTTGGCTCCTTATACTGCAAACTACATTGAGATGTTTTATATACAGTAAGCAGTATATTAGTTGACTAAATTGCTTTAACCAATTTTAATATTGTATGTTTGCATGGTTGCAACCCACCCTGGGATCTTATGATGAAGGGCAAATAAGAAAGCAAACTAATAGTAGGAAGAAGAGTAAAAAAATAAAAGAACAAACATTGATAAACTGGAGGCTGTGTTCAAGGCAGCCTTCTTCATCCTGGGTCCCATACATTGTTGGACTACCACTCCCATCATCCCTGGCCATTGAGAGTTGTAACCCAACAACATCTGGGAACCCAAGAACACCAGTTAAGGGAAGCAAAGCTGCAGAAAGCAAGAGATGGAGAAGGGAGGACAAGTGGATGATATTACGTAGTACTATTGTTGTTTTATGATGCATAGTATCTTTTTATGCTGTTGGTCATCCTGGGCTTCCTTTGGGAAGATGAACAAAATAAATAAATAATACTTGGTCACTTACCGGTAGAATGAGTAATAGGAGGATCCAAATGCATAGATGTTGAAGTAACATCCCAGAGGAAGACTCTTCAATAGGAAAATCAGGGTCTCCTAAGGCAAAAGGTATTGTCACCCTGGGTCACCTAGCAGTCCCAAACTAGACTGTTGACACTGTCTCAGCAATAAAGCCCTCAGTCCTAACCTAGACCCATAACTTCCATGCATCACTCTCTGCCCATCTGATCTCACCTTGCCTATGGGACCGAATTCTATTCTACCCATGAGAGTCAGATCCCTAAATAGTCTTTATCAGCCTGTCTGGAATTACATTAAACTGGCTGCCACTCTAATTCTTGAAGCAAGAGGTACACAAAACATCCATCATAGTCAAGCAGGAAGAAAGGGATATCCCATCCCATGTCTTTTCCATAAATGAGTAATGGAAAATTTCAGCTTGAAACTGGAAGTTCAGTCTGCATGCAATCTAGTCGTCTAATGGCTGTGAGTTTAACCACCTCCCTTTAATCTCCTCTCCTGTAAACCCAATGTATCATCCTCCCTTGGCTATAGGTTCTTCCATCACATCCCTTTCATCTAGCCAGGTGGCACCTTGGCACTCTGAATGCGGGTTGTGGCTTCAGAGTTACTTCTGGTGCTGTAGCTCATGCTGCTAGAGCAATCCATCAAGAACAGGAATTCGCCTGTTGCATTCAGGCCTGGCTTTGGGGCAGGAGGACTGGGATACAGGGTAAGCAAAAGCACGTGATCTCCCATCAGTGAACCTGTATTATGAGACAGGGAAAAAGAGTTTGGAGTAAGCAGACATTTCCACCCAAGGCTGTTCCCTAGTCATTGTACTGGACAAGCTGCATTTCATGTACCCAGCCCAAGCTCTGCTTCCAAGACCTCCCTTTCCACCAGGATGGGGAAGAATTCAGTTATTTGCAGTTCGTGATACAATAAACAAACCAAAATGCAGCTATATTTCAAAATCCATACTTCTCTCAATTATGCAATGCAGTTCTCCATTTTAAAAAGTGTACAGAATGCATACATTTGGATCAATTGTGCATAAAAATGCATATTTTTTAGTAAAAACAGCATAGAAAAATGTATTATATGGGTAGAAATGCTTTCAAAAGAAAGTGTGCATTAGGAAAATGTACAGTGGTACCTCGGGATGTGAACGGGATCCATTCTGGAGCCCCATTTGCATCCCGAACAGAACACAAGATGCGTCGGCGCGTGCGCAGGTCGTGTTTTGCTGCTTCCGCACATGCGTGTGACGTCATTTTGAGTGTCTGCACATACGCAAGCGGCGAAACCCGGAAGTAATGCATTCCGTTACTTCCGGGTTGCTGCGGAGCGCAACTTGAACGCGCTCAACCCGAAGCTCATTCAACTCGAGGTATGACTGTACTAAAAAAATTACTGTGAGTAAAAATAATTGTAAACTAATGCAGAAAAGTGGTGAACTGAACTTAGATAGGAAAACAAGAAACTGAAATTGACAGATTTGCTCATCCTTAACTCTAGCCCTTGCTCACCTGGATCTGCTCCTGGCTTCCCAACCTCTAGCAGGAGACTGGGCTTACGAACCACCTCCTTGTAATATATCAGCAGCTCCACATCTCGATTAAGGCAGTATCCTTCAGTGAGGGAAATCTTTGGCAGGGGTACGATAAGCAAAAGCAAGAGTTGAAACCTGGGTATGACATCATGCTAGTTCCAAAAGACTCCAGCAGCAGTAGCAGCTCAGTTTTCCCTTTACAGGGAACCTATAAGGTCAAGTTGTATTCAGGCCTTCAGGAAGAAAAGCATGCTCTTCCTGAAAGCCCTTAATGCCAACTCTTCACTATGGGCTGACATAAACGCAGACCTACTCAGAGTCAACCCAGTGTCATTAATGAACCCTAATTAGTCATGTTCATTAACTTCTGTAGATCTATTCTGAGTAGCACTGAATACCACCCCACCTCAGCATCCTTTACCTGGGCTGTAGTGTGGTCTTCTGTTGCATACTGCAGGGGTGTGAGGGTGCAATTTGACTTCACATGAGAGATTCCATATGGAGAATGCAGTGTAGCACTGAGGCTGAGCTTGTAGGGGAGCTCCCTCTCAGGCACTCGTGGTATGTTCTGTACGAAGCTGCTCTCTTCTGACCCTGCACAGGGACACAATCAATGCCATGAGAGAACGTGAGCAAAATGACCTTCTCAGATGTATACACTAAGTTCTGAAAAATTGTCCTACATCCAGGATTTCAACCAATGTGTCCTTGATGCCCACCAAGCCCCTGCCCCTCTCAATTGTAAAAAAATGTTTTCAGGTGAGTTTTGTGTTGTTTTGTTGAGCAAGTTACCTGGTTGTGTGGGCAGGAGGTTGGCATGTATTGTTTATTTTCAGGTGCTGTTTTCTGCCTCTTTGGGAAAGGAGACTCTGAGCATTGCCAGGTTTTCTTCTGTGAAACAGATATTTTGTGGTGCCCACAATAGTTTCTCCAATTTCCAGATGTTCCCTCAGGTCCATGAAGGCAGAATCCTGCCCTTGGTAGTTCCATGACAGAGGCAAGTGTTAGCCTGAGAAACTGGATTGGGGGAGTTTTGGGGAAGGTACAAATAGCATTGACCAGGCTTAGGGAACTTCTGACCTGTGGGTCAAAACAGGCATAGCAGTATAGGAGCCAATTCCCAGGGGCTGAAGTCCCTCCAATCTCCTCCCCCATAAAATATTTGAGGGGCCAGCCCTCCCCAAGTTGATAAGCATTGTCATTCAAATGATATGCATGTGCCACGTCTTGTGATCAATTAAGTATGGTGGAGCTTACTCCTCCCCTCTAATGTTTTATTCAAGTTGGCATCCCTGCAACAGGAGACCATTTTGACCCACTCCCACTACCTGTCCCACACCTGACAACAGATGTGGAGCAAGAAAAGATGAGGCTGCAAAGGAACAATCAGGAGCTTAAAGCATTCTACTGCTCATTGGCAAGTAGGGCTCGCTGACAGTGCCATGATCTGATCAATACCAATGGTGTGTCTCACTGGGATCAGCTGTACAAGGGGGTCTACCAGTTTAAACTTCTTAGTGCAGGCAATGGGACTCACTGTCAGTGCCCATCCACTGATGGATACTGGAAATGAGTCCCTGTGAAGCTGTCTATTTGTAGACCAGGTTTGGATTCAAACCACACCTGCAAATGGACATTTCTTTTGACTCTGCAGACCATCCTGCAGAGGGGAAAGATGCCAAGTTTAAAAGGGAAAGGGTTTTCTGGATGATAGAATACTCCCCCCAGGAAGGTTCACATGGCATGGGATTTGTGGGTCTCAGATTCAAAAGCAGACTTACCAGATGTTACCCAGGCAGAACATGACCCAGATTGGACCAATAGTCTACTTTAGAATCCACAACTCTAAGAATCCAATTACAAGGCAGTCTGAGGACAGCAGGGCTTCCCTTGTACAATTTTTAAAAAACCACACACAGCCCAGGCTTGCACCCTGAGGAGGTCACTTCAGTGCTGCTAACAAAGCAGCTTGATTTCACCCTTGGAGGTGCACTCCATTGTCCTTCGAGACAGATGGATGGGAAGAAGTGTGAGTAGCCATGGGACACACAAGCTGCTTAACCTGGAAGCCAATTGGGACACAGCCAATCATCTTGATGGCAGGCTTTTTGTTGGGGCAAAGATTAGCAGCTACTGTTTCTTACCCTGAAGTGCGTAGCGAGGATTCAGCACAACTGGCAGGACAAAGCGGACTGCCCCATCAGGCTCGGGAGCCAGTGCCTGGACATAGCACAGTTTCAGTGTGGCCTCTCCACTTGGTGGAAGATTACCCAGCATGCATTTGAAAATGTCTCTGGATTTGGGGTCCCTCACAAAAAACACAGATGCTTCGAGCACGGCCAACCGATCTTCATACAGTGCCTGTGCCTGAAGATGTTGAGAGACCAGAAAGAAAAAGAAAGAGATGTGAAAAGGTGGAAAGAGATGTGACAAGGGCAAGGAGAAATAGATGGTGTGGGGGTCACAGTGGCAGCCAGAATCTTGTCTGGACGGGAGTTGCTGCTAATTTCACCTCAGATGCCTTTCTGATTTCTTCAATCTTATCATAAAGTCATAAAGCTCAGGCTGCTCTGCACACCATGGCTGTTGCCAGCCTGAGCTAGGGAAAGAGGCACACATGTGCAGCAGAGGCACCCCCGCATCCCCGCACGCCTCTTTCCCCAGCTCGGGCTGGCAGCATCTCGGGCTGTCCTCTTTTTTGCTCTTCGAGATATGGCAACCTTACCATACTTCTTCTCTACAAACAAAGGGAGAGGGAGCTGCATGCTGTGCATTAGGTGTTATTTATGTAGTTTTTAACAGTGGTTGTTTTTAGAATACAGTGGTACCTCGGGTTACATACACTTCAGGTTACAGACTCCGCTAACCCAGAGATAGTACCTCGGATTAAGAACTTTGCTTCAGGATGAGAACAGAAATTGTGTTCCGGCGGCGCGGCGGCAGCGGGAGGCCCCATTAGCTAAAGTGGTGCTTCAGGTTAAGAACAGTTTCAGGTTAAGAACAGACCTCTGGAATGAATTAAGTACTTAACCCGAGGTACCACTGTTTTGTAATCATTTCTGAATTTTGTTTTTAAATTGTGAGTATGTTTGCCATCCTGAGCTACTTTTGGCGGGGGGGGGAGGGAGGGAGGATTTAAATTCAATCAAAAATTTAGTCAATAATTTATATATTGATTGACGGTTAATTCCACTGTGCTGAAGTTGTTTGTTGACTGTGAGTGCATAAATTGTTGCTTGTTACAAGTGGCAGCAAGCGGCCTAGAGAACGTTTTGTTACTGGATGACCTATAAGTGCAGTAAATACATTTTTAAACAATGGTTTAAAACTCTTGATTCAAAGGGTTTGGAGACATGCCAATCATGGCCTTCAGCATCCCCAGAACCTCCATCCCCACCCCAACCTCCCACACTACCTTGAGCCCTCTCACCTGTTCCTTCTCCATGATCTGGGCCTCAATTTTTGTCTCACCCATTAGGCCCTCAAAGGCGTAGACAGCAGCAGCAGCATCCAAGGGAAAGACAAATTCAACCTCCAGAGGGATCTTCTCCTCATTCTTGTAACGAAGTTCAGACACAACATCTGCCACGAAGCCTTTGATCGCCACAGCTACAGAGATGCTTTGCAAGGGCACTGAGGCACAGAAATAGCAAAGAGCTTTAAAAGAGGGATACATTTAAGTACATTACAAAGCAGACAGACATCCACGGCAAAAACCTACTCACCCTTGCTGGAAAGGTTGTCAGAACCAGTGCTTTTTTTCTGGGGGGACGCAGGGGTACGCATACCCCTAAACAATTTGTGAATCTTTGTACTTTTTTCGATTTTACTGTATTTATTTTTCCCGATTTGAACTGTAAAATGGTGATTTTCTTGAGTCAAAATGAGAGTACCCCTAAACATTATTTTAGGGGGGGGCACTGGTCAGAACAAAAATGTTTTCAGTTGTTTCTGAAAATTGCAACTAGGGGGTGCATGTTTGATGAGGGTTTGATGAGGCCCTAAACTACTGAAGGTAATGGGGCCCTTTATATGTCCAGCTGTCCTTAGCCAACAACAAACTGTAACTGTTTTTTGTGTTGAATATATGCTATATGGTAATTTATGGACCTAATAAGTATCTAAAGCCATTTGCACATAACAAAATATGGATTTTATCAAAGTAATCATTGAACTGAAATGTTGCTGTATGTAGGTTTTATTTTATTTGTTTTTTATCTTATATTTTGGAAATGTACATCCAGAGTTTTTTTCCTTTAATTTTTTTTGGGGGGGGGGCCAAGAGAGTGGGGCCCTAAGCTATAGTTGTTTAGCTTATACACAAATCCAGCACTGCATGTCACATCTCCACAGAAGTGCCATTCCACATAATAGGAGTAGCCACACCAAAAGCCCTTCTCCCAGTTACTGTGAAGTGGGAGTCTGAGATCTTTGGAACTTAAAGAAGCAGCTCTCCCGCAGACTGCAGTGACCTACTGGAAAACTATGAGATAAGGAGGTCTCTCAAGGAACCTGGTCCTGAGCAGGCTATTTATTTGAATATTTATCATCCACATTTCATAAAATAAATCAAGCCAGTTTACACCAAAAAAAAATTGTAAAATCAGTGTATAGATATCTTTAAAGCATAATTAGAAATATCAGTAGGCCAACAGTAGATACCATCTGGTTAAAAAGAAAAACTAAGCCTCCTAAGTCACAGTTTACATCAGGAGACTTAGTTTGGTCAGAATCGAATATACACTTCCAGAGTTAACACTAAATAAATTACTTCTGGTAAATGAGCCACTACAGACACTAGAGGGCTATAAAAAAATTGTGTCCTGGGTTTTTTAGACTTGTCTACCCATGTACTATCTGAAACCAAAGGTGTGTCTTGGTTGCCAGATGTGAAGCTTTTTCAGCTCTCCTACCGCATTACATAAGCCAATAACCACAACTCCTGTGCACAGTTAAGCATGCACACACACATCCGAAACACTGCCCCAACCTACCTTTTTGAGGATATAATAGTCTTCTGCTTGGCATTTCTGGTGGTGGAGGCCTTTCATTCCACGCGTCTTCATCCATCTTTGTTCCGGGAAGAGACCGTACCTGTGGTGAGCCAAATTAAGCAGCATGCATTGCAAGATGGATTGACCTTGCTTTGTTGATTGACATAAATGGGGGCATCTCTCTGCATACAGACATGGCAGAGTCTTTCTCCCACACAAAAACAGAAACAACACCCACATTAATTAATTTGCTAGGGCAGGCCTAGCAAAAATATGTTACAATATGTACACAAAACACATACAATTCATAAAGTGTGTGCAAGGCAACTTCCAGTAACAGCAAGCCTCCCTGTGATATAAAATCATAGAACTGTAGAATTGGAAGAGTCATCAGTCAAGCATGGATGGTCATGTCATAACCTTCAACATTTCTCCAATGAAAATAGGGACATCCGATTCAACAATAACAATTTTATTACGTATTTATACCCTGCCCATCTGACTGGGCTGCCCCAGCCACTCTGGGTGGCTTCCAACATATATCAAAACATAATAAAACTCTACAGGGCTGCCTTCAGATGTCTTCTAAAGGTTGTATTGTTATTTACCTTCTTGGCTCAGGGGTCGAATAACTCCATACCCTCCAACATTTTTCCAATGAAAATAAGAACACTAAAGAAAAGTGGGATGTAATCAGAAACTGAGACGGCTTCTGTAAATCCAGGACTGTCTCTGGAAAACAGGAGCAGAGGGTCTATCATGTGCAGCAATGTGGGAGGGTGAGACTAGCATGCCCTCTCCCCCTCCTCAAGTCAAACCCTCAATGTATTGTTTTAAATGTATAAGTAGAGCCATATACTTTTGCACTTTTAATCACCAGTCTTTTCAGAGAGGAGGGAGAGAGCAGCTCAATCACAGGAATAGTTAAAATGGTCTGACTGAGCACCAGTCTCCATGGCTCAAGGGATTCTTACTAAACATTCAGGAATTTCTAAGGGATGCCCGGGCAATAGGAGGAGGTAAGGATTTCTGCTTCTTTCCATCAGTCCTATAATAATGGCTGGGGAAGGGCTTTGCCTCAGTGGTGGAGCATCTGCTTTGTACACAGAAGGACCCAGATTTAATCCCCAGCTTCTGTATGTAGGGCTGGAGAAGACGCCTAGCCTGAAACTCTGGAGAGCTGCTGCCAGTCAGTGTAGGCAATACAGAGCCAAATGGATCAGTGGCCTCACTCAGTTTATAAGGCAGGTTCCCACACTGGAACAAGAAAGCAGTAACAGGATGAAGGGTCTTGCTGCAATGGAGGGCAAGGCACATTTCTAAGGCCCTTCCAGAGAAACTCAGAATGCAGTAGTTTTGGAGACCAAGTCTAGGTCAGGGGTTGAGTTTCTCAAGAGAAGAAGCTTTGCATGATGAAGAGAATGGGGCAGTGGAGCTACATATGCAGAGGATGAGATGGTCTAGACTCTAGACTGCCATGAAGATTGTTTAGTGCAGCATTAATGGGAAGGACTCAGAATTCAAAGGGACTCCATGCAGGGGAATGGTTATACTCACAGCGAGGCGGAGGATCTAGTCACCTGAGGCTCCAAAGCTCTCCCTGCAACCAGAATCCAGGGATGTTGCACACTCTTTGATGCTACAGTGCTTCCTTTTTTCCTGTGACGCCATTAGCATCAGCACTGCAGCCAGTCCCGTCATCCCCACCCCCGTCTGGGAATGCCTGCCAAATGCACGCGTATAGTTCAGTCACAGTCTGCTTTCCAGAGTAATGACTGTGGCAATGTTCCAATGTCATCTGGAAAATTGCTCCCTCTCCTGGCAAACCAGCAGCTCATCACAAAAACTAAAATCCACAAAGCTCATCCTGAGCAGAGGAAGGTTTGGATGGGCAGAGAAAGGAAGGGGACTAGCATTACTGAGCTGCATTTGCAGCATTTGAAAAGGGTGGCAAGTACAGCTCTACGTCTCCTAGGTTTCCTATTGTTCTAATCTTAAACTCAGTCCCCAAAATTTCCACATCAGCTTGTGGAATAAAATTCACCAGCATTTTAGAGCAAATGCCTCCTAATATTTTCATTTTACTTCCTGGATGTGTGTGTGTGTGTGTGTGTGTGTGTGTGTGTAGGGGCAGTCCAGATTAAAATGCAGGCTAGCACTGTCATGACAGTGCTGTCTGGGTGCTGGGGAAAACTTGCCTGTGTGAGCAGCACTGATTCCAGAAAAAGTTCCTGTCTGGAAGTGGTGTGTAACATTCAAAACGAGTTCTAATCCCGAACAGCCAAACATTGTTTTGAATAGTTGGTTTTGTTTTTTAAAAAAGAAAATAAAATTTAAGGCTGAGGCAGGCAGATTACTGACTCTTCAGCCAGGCATTTGGCTGATTGACATTCTATGGCCTTTAAAATATGTTTGTGAGTGTGGGATTATTGGTTTGTCTTTATTCTTGCTTTTGTTTTATTATAGATCATTGTGTTCTCATTTTGTATTTTTGTGTTGTGATTTTGGGATGAAGGGCTGTATACAAAGTTTAATAATAATAAGGCTGCCTGCTTTCCAGACTGAGAATACATTTGATGAGCTTGCAGCATTAACACCCAAACAGCTCTCTCTCTCCCTCATTAGGTTTTGAGGCAGGGGGCAAACACAAAGCCTTGGGCTCTTTGCACAAAGAGCAAGTCAAGCTTCCATGTCTTCCCAGCCCCAGATAAGACCAGACTGGACCCTGGCCTGCTGTTCTCCTTCCACTCAGGATGACATCACCTTCAGCCGGGGATTAGGCAGCGGCCTGCCCCCATCTTTGGGAAGCATCTTGAGCGCATAGTTTCTATGACAACACACCTGTGCTTGGCCAGCTTTTTTCAGTAATGCAAGGAGATGCTTAACAGACTTGGCTCAGGCAATTAATTTAACAAAGAGAACCAATTCGACTATTTCTGGCAGTTCCTTCTCTTCTACAGAATCCCACCATGCAGATTCTGAAGTCTCTCAGCTTCAGATTGCTGCTTTCCATGTCTTGAAAAGTGACAGAAATACCAATGGCGAGGGGCAGATCTAATGTGTTTGGTCCCCACTGCCCCCTCTCATGTGTTGGAGTTAACAAAGTAATGCTTGAATGTGGTTACAGTGGTCAATGCTGGCATGTAGAAAACAAGTTACAGTGACCTCCATGTGTGGCAATGTCATATTTACTGCCATGATAAAACTGCTTCTCTTTCACACATACACTCATAATGGTCAGGTAGAAAAAGGGACAAACAAAATGGTTATTTGTGGGGAGAGGGGATTAGATGGGACAGAAGCAGTGATGTGTGAATTTGCCTTCTTTATTCAACCCACAGAATTCAGATTGCTTTTAACACATGGAGTCAGAGAGCACAAAGTATCCATTGCCCTCACTATGTGAGTGGCCTCGCATAAAGTAAAATGAGTACACCACCCAAGCTCAAACGCTTTGATTAAAACTTTCTAATCTGTATAGAGAAACAGCCCCAAACTCTGGTCTAACTTTGTGAGTGGCATTTACTGTAACTTGTGTTTACCTGAATGCCGTTCTTGCCATTTAGTGCCGGTTCCCAAAGGGGCTCCTCCCCAAAGTGGAAACCAAGCCAAGATCCTGCAATTAGGCTTAATTGTCAGAGGCAGCACTGGCGACAGGCTCAATTAAAAGGTGTTGTCAGGTGCACAAACTAAGTTTGGAATGAACTTTGCCAAATAGCTGATTATCAAGTACGGCAACTCTCCAGTCCCTTAGACACAGCTGCTGCCTCTCAGCCATCTCCGTTTAATAATACCAACCAGCAAATAACACAGCTGGTGTCAGAAGGGAAACACAGAAGCGTTCAGGGCAGAGGAGGGGGGAGTTTCAAACTTTTTCTAGTGTGTGTGATTTCTCATGGTATACTCTGTACTCAGAAACGCAGGCAAAAAAATATTGCTAGACATTAACCTGGTGCAATTGTAGAAAGCAAAACTAAATAAAGGCCTTCATAGTGTGAATGAATGTTTGGGCCTGTTTGGCATTACAAATCAGTTGAAACAGCAAGTGCTTTAAGCCTAATCCACACACACATAAAACCCCTCATTTGTGACTTGCTATAGCAGAGCTTTCCAGTCTTTTCATGTTGGTGAAACACTTTTTAGACATGCATCATTTCACAACACAGTAATTCAGGTTTACTAGCAAACCAGAGTTTAACTAACCCCTTTCCAGCTCCAGGAGTAGTGCAGGGAGTGTTTCGCGACTCACCTGCACACTGCAGCTGACACACTAACATGTCATGACACACAGTCTGGAAAGCTCTGTGCTATAGCTAGAGGGCTAGCAAATGTCCAACTGAATGCGTACATGGGCCAGGATTGACCTCGGCTGGAATTTAGAGGACTGCACTGTGAAATAGCAGTTGTAGCATCCTCTGAGGGGTAGTGCTATACTTGTCAGGATAAGGGTGGGGTGAGGTGAGGTGGCAGCAAGGTCAGTGCAGCAGCTTCAGGTTGGTGGCAGTGGTTCTGCAGGTGTGCATGCTCCTGTGGGGCTGCCACCACCAACCTGAAGCTCTCCCAGCCTCACCACTGCTACATCCCTTTGGGGCCTAAGGAGCAAAGCACCGCCGCCACAAAGAGGACACTAGTGGTGCCCGCCGGCTATGAGCCGTTGCTACTGTGAAGGTTGCTACAGATTTGGCATCACTATTACACTAAAGCTGCCATCCTATACACACTTACCTGGGAATAAGCTCTATTGAACTGTGTCTAGAACTACAGTGGTACCTCGGGATACATACGCTTCAGGTTACAGTTTCCGCTAACCCAGAAATATTACCAGGTTAAGAACTTTGCTTCAGGATGAGAACAGAAATCGTGCAGCAGCGGCGCAGCAGCAGCAGGAGGCCCCATTAGCTGAAGTGGTGCTTCAGGTTAAGAACAGTTTCAGGTTAAGAACAGACCTCCAGAATGAATTAAGTTCTTAACCCGAGGTACCACTGTATACCATAAGATTTCCCACCCCCGCCTCTGCTTAATACAACAGCACAGCAGACTGCATACAGCTAGTTATGGTCATAATTGTCAAATATACTACATTTCCTATGAAATCATATGTGCTCTCTCGCTCTCTCTTGCTCCCTCTCTGTCTTTCTCGCAACCTAGCCTACTTTTCAGTGCCACTTGCTGTTCCCACACTACAGAAACCGAACAGATCTCCACTAGAAGTGGGGCATTGAATGTCACCAGTCCTGTGCTGTGGAGATTCAGCAACCACCCTTGCTTTTCATTCTCAGGCATCTCTCCAAGACCTTTTAATATAGACAGGTTTATGTAACTGTTAACGTGAGATATATATATATAAAAGCTACTCATTTTAATGGTCTTTTTTACCATTTTATGATGTTTCCCATTTTATTGTATATATTGTTGCCCACTACCATGATATACAGTGGTACCTCAGGTTACAGATGCTTCAGGTTACAGACGCTTCAGATTACAGACTCCACTAACCCAGAAATAGTACCTCCGGTTAGAACTTTGCTTCAGGATGAGATCAGAAATCGCATGATGGCGGCAGCGGGAGGCCCCATTAGCTAAAGTGGTACCTCAGATTAAGAACAGTTTCAGGTTAAGAACGGACCTCTGGAACGAATTAAGTACTTAACCCGAGGTACCACTGTATTTATCAACTGGTGATATTTAAATAGTTTTCTAAATAAATAAATATATTGCTTCATTCTCACAGCCTCCAAACTTCCCTCCCATCTATAATACATCAGCAATCCTCTTTCACCATATAGTTTATTAATCATATCTTGACTCAGTCTCGCCATGTATCTATTTATTATATTAATATATTAGTGTTCCACCCTTCTTCACCCATGGAGCTCAATACATAAGAATTATCCCTTTCTTTCTTTTTTTTACTTCTGTGTGAGGGCAGTTAGGCCCCGGACAAAAGAGATGTGCTTGCCTTGATAAACATTCTACATTTATTGCACATAGTTATAATATACTTGTCATTTGTACTGGTGTACAATTATTTAGGTGTTCCAGTTTGCATGTGACTTCTACATGTGTGGATAGGCTTGCCTAAACAAACCTGTTTTAAGCAGGCGCTGAAAAGAATACAGCAAAAGCCTAGTGTCAATAAGCAGGGGGTTCCAAAATACAGGTGCAGGGCTGGCACAATAAAAATATCTATTCCTTATAAGTGTGGCATTGTGTTTCCATAGGAACGGATTGTTAGAGCATTTTCCTTTTTTTTCTTTTTTTCTTTTTTGACTGGCCAACAAATACCTGAAATACCTAAGAATGGTGAGATGTCTATGTGAAGGGAGACTGCAGTTTTGACACAATGGCTAAGGAGAACTGAATTAGGGTACTGTAAGCTAACATGGGTGGTGCTGTGGGTTAAACCACAGAGCCTAGGGCTTGTCGATCAGAATATCGGCGGTTCGAATCCCCGCGATGGAGTGAGCTCCCCTTGCTCAGTCCCTGCTCCTGCCAACCTAGCAGTTCGAAAGCATGTAAAAGTGCAAGTAGATAAATAGGTACCGCTCTGGTGAGAAGGTAAACAGCGTTTCCATGCGCTGCTCTGGTTCACCAGAAGCGGCTTAGCCATGCTGGCCTCATGACCTGGAAGCTGTATGCCGGCTCCCTTGGCCAATAAAGCGAGATGAGCGCCACAACCCCAAAGTCATCCGTGACTGGTCCTAATGGTCAGGGGTCCCTTTACCTTTAAGCTAACAAAATTTGGGAGGCTGTCTGACGTGGGAGGTAGTATTAGAATTTGGCTGTTGGAGTTGCTCAGCTGTTATATTTGTAAATTAACATAAGAATTACAAAATGCAAATAAGCCTCCAATGACTCCTTTGCTAAAGGAACCAAATGTAAGCATCATGCCCCTGGAATTTCTCAACACTCAGAAAATAGCACTGAGCGTAACAATACACTTTTTAAAAAATAAAGGTCTTACATTGCATTTCCCCTGGAAAGGCCAACTATAACCTCGGGACAATTCCAAAAGAAGCCCTGTTTCACCCACATGCAATCTAATATTCTTTCTTCTGAAGCCTCTCGATACTGTTTGTGGTTAAAAAAACCAAAAACTCCAAAAAGCAGAGGGGACAGGTTGTGTATACCCAGGTAGGTCTTTTTAGTAAGCAAAATTCCAAACAGAGAGATAGCTCAAGTTACTACATCTCATTGAGGAAAATTCTCCCTTCCTACCCTGTATACCTGTCTGTTCCCTCAGTACTGGCAAAAGGCTTGTTTTCTACTCCACCACCAAATGGAGTTAAATACCTCTGACTGTAGGGTTTCGAATGCTCTATTTTATTTGTTGCCCGGGTATTTTTTTTCACAATTGTAACATAGGCAAACATCTACCTCCTGAAAATCCCAGTGAGATAACAGTAGGGATTATGAATTATGCCCCCCAAACCCTCCAAAGGAAAACCCTCCTCACACTTTTTACTCCTTTAAGAGGCATAGCAGCAACAGGCATTTTCAAACTGCAGAGACCAAAAATCACACCAGTTTAAGTTGTCTTTAAAAGTGCTTTTTATTATGTGGTTATATCAAAACCCTGACAGATAATTCAGAAAATTATTTCATACACGTCAGATTAAGTGGTTTTACAAATCGAAGCCCCAAAGTCAAGCTGTGCAGGAGATTATTATGCAAAGCAAAAGAAAAGAAGAAGAAAATCAGTGTACAATTCTATACCCGCTTAGCCCCATTTAACTCAATGGGAACAGATATACTATATATATAGAGGATGTGTATATATAGGATTGTGCTGTTAATCTGCTTTAGGTGGTCTTCAATATTTATGCACATGTCTTTAGATTAAGGCTCAGCCAAAAATTATCTGGGTTGAAACTGGGGTCAGGGAGAGAGAACATTTCCACCACTTGCCACATGGCCCAAGGGGAAAACATAAGTCATTGTCATGTATTTTCATTCCCAGAGAATGTTGGGGGAGCAGAGGGAAAAATTATGGCTGCCAGCCATACAGAGGGGCATTGCAACAAGCAGTGCATTTTTCAGGGGGTACTCTAGTGTACGCAGTACCGCCACCTCTCTTTTTTTGTTTTTGTTTAAAAGTGTAACACTTACTGCAACAACTTCATGGTGAGTACTGGCACCTATTTTTCTAGAAAAACAAAGCACTTGACGCAAATAAGGCCTACATCCCCCACTCCCTTTGCCCTTCTTTTTGCAGTTCTCAAATAGTGATGAAATATCTCTTTCCCCCCGCCCCTCCATTTTGCTACCTGTAAAAGGGAAAATGAAATTGCTGTGGAACATTTGGGGCCAGCATTCCTTCAGATTCTTGACCCTGCATCTACAAATATAGACATAGACAATGTGGAAAAACCACAGAGATTCTTGCAAAGCGTAATTCTTGGCAGGCCACAACCTGACATCACTGGGATGGTGAGGTCTCACAAATACAGCACTGTGGAGGAAAAGACAGAAAGTGCATTCAGAAGTTAGTAGGGCACACCCTGATGTGGTTTCAGCCTCACATTGCAAAGCTTTAGGGTTAGCAGAGAATGTGGCTAGTCCACCTACAAACTAAAATAATGTAGCTCTTGCTCCATGACAAGAGCTATTCTACATGTTTAGAAAGGGGGGAATTGTGTGCAACAAATGTGGAAAATAAAGGTGCACTTATTGAACATTAGAAAACCTGATGATGGAGGAATGCCCTGAGGAAAACAATGGGCAAAATGCACAGGAATATGCTGTTAACCTGCCTGTAAGTGACTTCAGCAATGAAGTGTGGACTATTGTAAACTATTTCTCTCCTCCTCCCGCTCTATCTGATGGCAGAGAGTCTGCAGGGAGAAGGAACATTGGAGACTGCTGCCTGAAACAATGGCTTCATGAGTTTTTTATGGTGAGTTTGATAATGGAGACTATTGCTGTTATTCTTTACCCTTCCTTGAAAAACAAATAAAAAACTAGCTACTGTGAAATGTGGTGTTTGTCATAAACATAAGATTCAGAGGAGTCGAACAGTAAAAGCTGGGAGTTTGCAGGCCCTCCTTCCTTGGAGGTTTCTAAGCAGAGGTTGCATGGTCATCTGCCATGGATGCTTTAGTTGAGATTCCTGCATTGCAGGGAGTTGGACTAGATGACCCTTGGAGCCAACTCTACAATTCTGTGATTCTAGAATTGCAAAGTGTGGAGATGCATTGCCACAAGTACACAAGAAGAATGCAATCTGCTCTTGAGAAACGTGACATATCCCTCTAACAAAAGAACAACATGGGTTGAGATACAAGCCACATTCACACCATACATTCTTAAGCACCGTGATACCATTTTGAACAGTTGTGGCTTCCCCCAAGGAATTTGTGAAGCGTAGTTTGTTAGGGGTGCTGATAGTTGTCAGGACACTTCCATCCCCTGCCCAGAGCTACAATTCCCAGAGAGGTTTAATCTCTCTTCCCAGGGAATGCTAGGAACTGTAGCTGAGACCCTCGTGCCAAATGTGACTCTGTGGATCTCTTTATCCAGTCTTCCCTGGGCCACATTCCTCACCAGCCCTGCTCATGAGTGCTTTTGCCTTCCTGGAATGTGTACTTGAACTGTACTGCTGGTACCTCTTGCTTGCCTGATGGAGGATCGAGAAGTGTGGTTATGGGTGTAGAAACCTCAGGTTTTTTGCATGGTTGGAATGGAGCCAAGTGAACAAAAGTAAGAGTCTCATCCATTGCAGCACGGCCCACTTACGTTCTTGAACCCTCCCATCACTGGCATGCGGCCTCTAGAAGGTTTCCCAGGAGGAATGTGGCCCCAAGGCCCCCACCTTTAACTATCTTCTTTTGCAGGCTAACCTTTCCTGTGCTAAGGAATCTAGGGATTCCAAAAACCACTCCATATAGATCCATTTTAGTCATCCCCTCCACCTCCACCACCAACACCAAGTTTTAATTCCATCTCAGGCTGTCACATACCTTGATGTCCAGGACAGGCTTGGTTGTTATCCCAACCTATAGAATAGAGAGAGAGAAGTATTTTCCCCTCTTTAAACAACCATTCTCCCAATTCCCATCTTATAGTCTGAGAACCTTAGAAGGGGCAAGATTCTGTATATCTGTCTCTCCAATTTGTCTAGTTTAGTGTTTCCTAAAGTGGGTGATACCGCCCCTTGAGGGGTGCTAGAACAATCCGGTGGGGGTGGTAGTAGCCTCAGGTTGGTGAATAAAAATAAGGGAGCTGTGGAAGGATAAAGAAAGAAGATAAGAAAATTTTGAAAAACTGTTCATACATGTTTCATCTGTTGCCTACCTGATGCCAACAACCAGGTCAACACCTCCCCTGAATCTGGCGGTCGTGCTGGAGGTGAGAGGTTTGGGTGAACCCTTTTTGGCCTTATCCAGGCCCAGGATGTAGATCATGGCTTGCCTGCCTAGTGGGCCAATGGCAGGTGGTCTGTGACACCAGCGCCACCCCATGGGCTTTTAAATGCTTAAAGAAGGTAGATTTCCAGAGGCCACTAGTAAAACAATTTCTGAAAAGTGGGTAGTAGGCCAAAAAAGTGGGAACCTCTGGTCTAGTTCATAGTGGGAGGAGGATTTTAGAACTGATTTTACACCCTATACAGAAAAGAAAACATGTTTTTCCCTCATCCATTTAGGATGGTATTGGATTAAGAAAAAATTCACACATCCAATTTCTTCATGAAATTTACTTCTGCCCACCCACCCAACTACGCCAAACCCAACCCAGACAGGGAGGGATGGGGAATTAGAACTGGTGCCCCACAAAATGAAAAGCCCAGTAACTTCCATTTGGTTACCTTTCCCCTCAAAAGCACAGTTGTGGTAGCTGCAAGTCCCCACTGACTTGGCATCTACGGTCTGGCCATCTGGGGTGTCTTCAACTGACGTGACCTTGAAAATCTCATAGGGAGGGACCAACACCTCCTCTTCTTGAAAAAGTGACATCTCACTTATATCAATCCCCTCGCAGGTGAACAATTTGAAAAAGGTTACAGTCTGAAACACTTCGGCCACAGTCGAGTTCTCTGATGTGGAAGTGAACTGCCCAAACCTGAAGAGGTCATTGATGGAAAACTTCACACCAGTGCCCCTGTAGACCTTAACACATTTGTGGTCCTTTCGTTTGAATGACAGGGTTGCCTGGGTTAAGAGGAAATGCAGGGACTTGAAAGGGTAGGCCTCATATTCCTCAGGCCCTTTTCCTGCTGTGCGGGTGGCAGCATTGAACTTCCTGTAGAGTGAAGGGTATGCTCCAGTGTATGCCCAGATAGCCACTTCAGAGAGCTCTTCCATATTCTTGGGGTATAACTTGGACTGGTTCTCCTGCCAATTAAACAGTGCTTCCTCCCATGCTTCCTTATAGATCTTAGATATATTCAGCTCACTTAGAATGAGAGACGTCAGGATGCTCTGCATGCTCTCCAGGCAGCCTTCATACTTGTCATCGAGGGAGTAATGTGCCATGTTCAATATCGGTTGGGATCTATTTGTTGACATTTCACTGGAGCCAGCCTGGAGCAAATTGATAATTGCATCATGTGAGTCATATGGCCTCTCAGAAAACATGTATGACAGTTTGCTGTTCACAACACAAGGCTCCCAATCCATTATGCAGACAAGAGGCTGCATCCTATGCATTGTTGGCTGAATGGTGAATCACCTCCACCACATGGCCTCACCTCAAGCAGAGAATGGATGAGCTTAAAATGTTCAAACAGGCTGGCCTCATTTGAATCAGGAGCAGGAGACTGGTCCAACCCAAAATGGGCTTTGGAAAGGGTAATATGCAGAGGAGAGCAGGAGCCTGAGCCTCTCCTTGTTTGTAATTTACATGCTCTGTATATCATTACTTAATGGGATGCAGCATTATTAAAAGCCCCATGATCCCTGGAAGGTAATAATGCACATCACACATCACACACAGCCAAGGAGAGGTCTTGCATGCATATCATGTTTAGGAACTGTAGATTATATTTGGAGACATATTGACGGGTCTCTGTGGTGTTGCCTCAGCTTTGGAACTCCCTGCCCCTTGAAATCCAGCTGATGTCTACATTGTCTTCCGATAAACACCAGCTTGGAGCATGGTTTTTTGTGATTGCTGTTGAGGTTCACCTGTGATATACCGTATTTTTTGCTCTATAAGACTCACTTTTTCCCTCCTAGAAAGTAAGGGGAAATATGTGTGCGTCTTATGGACCAAATGCAGGCTGCGCAGCTATCCCAGAAGCCAGAACAGCAAGAGGGATTGCTGCTTTCACTGCGCAGCAATCCCTCTTGCTGTTCTGGCTTCTGAGATTCAGAATTTTTTTTTTCTTGTTTTCCTCCTCGAAAAACTAGGTGCGTCTTATGGTCCGGTGCGTCTTATAGAGCGAAAAATATGGTACTTTGGCCATATATTTTTATGGGTTTTATAGATGTGATTTGATTAATTTACTGAAGTTGTGTACTTCACCCGGACATCTTCAGATTAAAGGAGCTATACAAATGCTTTAAACAAATAAATAATGTGCAGTCAAGGAGATACCTTGCTGCTGCTCTGTTTTTCCAAATTATGTGCCCTGCATGTAATTTCCTGCCAAGAATCAGGGGCTTATAATCCAGCACTGTGATGTGTATTCCATTAGGAAATGATGTGTGACACACCAGGTACAGCTGAGGTTAGACTTCTCATCTTCTCATCCACCCTGCACTATCAACTCCTATATCTCCCTTCTCTGAGAAAAGTGGGGGCATGACAGCAGCATGGGTGGTGAGTATTTGACTTGGAAAAAAGTCCCGTTAGACAGCCTGCTCATTCCTAACAACACCACCCAGACAGCTTCAAAAAAACAAAACAAAGGCTATTGTCTTAGTTTGGTCAGTAGTCATATAATGCAAAAAAGAAAGAAAGAGGCGTGGGACATATAACCTGAGACAGCTCACAACTGCATACTCCATTCTTTTCTAAATTCTGTTTGTCTCTCAATTTCACCATCTTTAAGAATCAGTTGTGAGTAAAACAGAATAAGACTCTGGAAGAGCAATCATTTGATCACATATTAATCCAATGGCAAGATATAGGGAACTTTTGCTGAACCCATGGACCTTCTTGCAAGGCCTAAGTGCCCATAGCCATCTCCTTAGCACTGCCAAGATTTACCACAGTAGATTCCTTCCAAACTTGGGGCAACCCTTGGGTTAGAGAAAGCCTAGCTTTCTCTAATTCAGGAGTGGGGGATCTTTGGCCCTCCAGATGCTGCTGAACTACAACTCCCATCAGTCCAAGCAAATATGGCCTGTAGCCAGGAATGATGGGAGTTGTAGTTCAGCAACATATGAGGGGCCAAAGGTTCTCTGCACCTCCTCTAATTAGTCATTCTTTGTTCATCAATAGCCACACAAAGCAGGGAAGGACATAGGACTTACCTTGGCAGTCCCTTGAGCAGATGACACAATGAAAGCAACTAGCAGAAATGTAACATGCTGTGGGTTCTCCATCTTGATGCTCCACAGTATGTCCACAGTTGTACAAGAACTGTGTCAGATAATGTAAGTTGACTGGAGCAGTGGATATCTTTGAGGCTTTCACCTATCTGGAAATCCTGACCCAAACTGAAGAGACAGTATTGTGACAAATGAGGATCTTCCCTCTTTGCCTTCCAAATGTAGCTTCATGGTGCTATAAAGCCACAGTACAGCTCATATGACACAAGTTAGAGCCGTTAGGAAGATTACAAGATAGGTAGAGCATGTGTGCTGATAAAGCCACTTCCTCATGACATGGGGACATTGTATATTATCTCAGTGGTCTCTGACCATGTGCTTGTCCGTTTTTTCAGAAGTACTTGATGCTGCTCCCTAAAATGGCTCCTTTGCACCATCATGGCTGAGGCCTACTCCAAGTTAATGCAAGCAAAATAGTAGTGAGGCAGCGAATCATTTCTTTCAATTAGCCAGTCCATCAATCAATACCTTTATTATGGTCATAAGACCATAATAGGTCAAAATTCAGGTCAAAATACATAAAGCAAATAGCTGTAAACAAAATATGCAATTTCTCCAATTTAACTAAGATAGTCAGCTTCATATGAGCATGCCAGTTAGGAAAGGTTAAGTCACCTGTTTGGTGATCTGTTGGACCTGAGAAACAATACATTGTCAGTCTTGCATCCAGACACCCTGGCAAACTAGTCAGAAGAGGGTAAGTTATATGACATGTCACATTGGAATAAAACGTAGTGTATAAACGCATGAACTCCCACCTTATTGGGGCACAATCAATTTGGAAATGGAATATTCAAAAATCTGCTGATTTATTTATTTATATAGGCTTATACACTGCACAATAAACAAAGTATCTCGGTGGTAAGAATCACAGCCATAAACCAGCATCAGAATGCTTAGTAAAGGTCTTGACACTGATACACAATAACTGGTGGTTGAGCTATATAAACAGAATTGTCTTAAATAGGCTTTTGAAACAAACTACTGATGGTGCCTGCTTAACATTAATAGGCAAAGACTGCCACAATCTTGGTGCACTGCAGACACACTAAGTACCCCATTTTTTATAGAAGCGAAGAGAACGCAATGTGGTATCCTTAATAGTAATTAAAAGGTTTTCTCCCTTGGCATTTTGGTAAAAGAATTGCGGTGTTTCCATGTATCATGTGGTTCACTGGCGATAAAAAGTTTACATTTCAGGCGGAAGTTACTGTTGTGGAATCACCTTGTTAAATACAAACATAGGGGAGGCAGGTGCACTCTGTGCATGCTCATGGGATATATTTCTGACACTTGTAATTCTTAATCATATCTCCACCGGGTCAAGTTAAACACCTTAGGCTGTGTCACACTTTGATGTAGAATATTGCCTGCATGTTTTCTTTCTCAGTCAGTGAACTTTTAAAAACAAACAAATCATGCATTGGTTGGCATATATAGTTGTATTGCATTAGATCAGGCATCCCCAACCTGCGGTCCTCCAGATGTTTCAGCCTACAACTCCCATGATCCCTAGCTAACAGGACCAGTGGTCAGGGGTGATGGGAATTGTAGTCCAAAACATCTGGAGGGCCAAAGGTTGGGGTTGCCTGCCTTATATTAAGTCCTCCATTTTACATGTACCTTATCACAAATTTATTCTTGTCATTTATTGGTCCATGACTTTGTTATTTCTCTTGAGTGGCGATTTTAACACTGATTTTCCGGGGTCTACCTTATCCCACAACACAACACAGGATTGCTGTGTTTGCATGTATTGAATGCTCTCTCTCTCTCTCTCTCTCTCTCACACACACACACACACACTCATGCCTCTGGTAACACCTCCAAATCTGTTAACATATCAGCGCATCATCTCATGGGGTGCATGGAGGGTAGTGATTTTAAAATGGTCACTGAGATGGACAGATTGCCACTATCACTTAAGCCATTATGCTTACCCGTTCCTCCTCCTTCTGTTTCCTTTGCTGATTTCTATCCTGGGGGGGGGGGATTGGAGGGCAAGGTAGAGATCTAAATTTTCCCCCTAGAAACTTACAGTGGAAGTAGCTAAACTGTGGCTGACCAGATGTTGCTGGACTATGACTTGCATTAGCCCCAGCCAACATGTTCAGGAATGAAGAGAGTGGTAGTCCAGCAACTCTTTGGTTCCTTGGGCACAACTGCTACCTCTCACACACTTTTGTTTAATAACATCCACTGGCAAGCATCACAGCTGCTAACAGACGGCAGCCATAGAAACAATCAGGGCAGAGCTGAATGGTGTGGAGAAAATGGAGGGGATCAAACAAGATGTGCATACAAGGCCAGTTCCAGCTTTGAGGGGACCGTCAGCCAAGTGCTCACAAATACCTGCAGTGACACTGTGTCAGGAACATTGTGTGACATTGAAATGGTGGCTTGCCAACTCAGATACCGGAACAAGTGTCAGTGCCAGGAAGCTGGGCCTGCATGCACTTGTTTATTAAATAATTGCTGGCCCATTTGAGTATAACAGGGGATGGAGGAAATCTATCAAAGGGGGCACCTAAGGAAGGGGAATGACACTGACTCCACCTTTCCCACTCATTCTTCCACCACCTTACCTTGCCACTGCTTTGGGATGCTTTAGTCATTTTCCCTCAGCCCAGGCAGCAATGTTCTAAGGAGCACCAAGTTGTTTGTGTCTATTGACAATTTTATATTTCCCAGTGTTGCTCTAAAGCAGAGGTGAGGGATCCTGTGGCCAGGAGCGCCAATTATAGGGGCTTCACCCACAATATTTTTGTTGTGGATGCTCAGCACCCACACTGCAGGGCCCCCCCACACACGCACAACTTCCAAGGTCTTGCAAGGTCTCAGAACCCGACTTCCAGTGGCACCAGAAGTCAGGTTCCAAGGCCAGGGGGCAGGCGTGACGTCATGACGTCATGTCGTAATGTGATGTCACACCCACTGGCCACCCATAACCTGGGGCCCAAGTTGGCTCTCCTACCTGTGGCCCTCCAGGTAGGAGGATAAAATTCCCATCACCCCCAGTCAACCTGGGCTGCCCAAATAGCATTTGGCCTGTCAGGTACAGTTTTCCTCTGCTCAATATTGTCCCTTGAATTGACCAGTGGCAGCCTGTACCTGACAAGCCAAATGCTATTTGAATGAAGAAAATTTCAGAAGGTGGAGAAGGAATCCTACCGCAAAGGCCAGAACTCTGGAGATTTGATTAGGTACCCTATCATTGTCAAAATTACTGTTCTCGTGTTGACCACCTGATGTCAGTAAATTATTCGCAAGGCCAACATTATCCACACCTGAAGGATGCTATTAAAAAAAAGCCTGTTGTTTAGAACCAAATCCAGGGTAGACAGCATTTTGTGTGGTCCTTTCCCCTTTATATTTTAGGCTTGATTTTTCAAGTTGATACCCCCGTGGTCTATAACACAGAAATACATACCTGTGACTCAAGCACATTTGATTACATCTGTAGGTGCAAAGCTATCAGTGAGAATTGTTTCAAAAGGCACCTGCACTGGGCCTAAACATCCAGTCATCCTGAGTGGAAAATGTGAAAAGGTGAAGAGAATTTGCTGTGTTGAGGCATTGACTGACAAGAGGTAACAAAATGGAAACAAAGGCACTACAGCAGGCAGAAGAGACTCTTAACTGGCCAGTCTTTCCTTCTATAACCTGACAAAACTGATGCAGGACAGATAATATTTCATAGATGGAAACATGGGGCTTCACATAAGGAGGGGATGTTTTGCCTTCCAGAGGGCGCTGCCACTCATGTTGCTGCTTTTTCTGCTGTGCCATAGTATATACAATGCACGTTCTATTAATTGCAGCATATACACCGACCCAATCCCTATTCCTCATGAATTTTATCACTCAGGAGACCTTGTAATCGGTGACATTGCTGCTCACATCTTCTTCTTTTATGAGACTCCCTCTTTCAAGGAACAGCCAAGACAGACTATGATTGACAAACCGGTGTAAGGAAATACTTTCTCCCTTCGTTTTCCTTCTGTAAAAATGTTCCACTCTTGATATCTGAGAGCAGAAAATCATTTAAGCACTATGGTACTTGAGAAACACTTGGTCTAGCCTTCAGGGTGAAAAGTAGTGTTCCAGGGGACATTTAGTTTGTTCTGTCATTTTATTTTATTTGTCCTGCTTTTTTCCTGTACCATCTGGCACATTTTATGAAGAATTTCTCTTACAGACCCTGTGCATTTTTAAGGGGCTGATGCAGAAAAGCCTGTCTTGAATTACTCTTTGATGCACCATTCTTGCACTTTAAGAACATTGACAAAATGGAGTGTGTCCGGAGGAGGGCAAACAGGATGGTGAGAGGTTATTGCATAGACTGCACCACTAGAGACCTGCCTCTCCACACATTCCCTGGAACACTGCCCCCCCCCCCCCATGGACCCCTCTCTCTTGCGTCACCTCCTCTCCACTCTGAGCCACACAGGGCTCCCTGACCTTTCCTAACCAGCATCTGTTTTGCTGGGAACACTTGAAAGAGCTGGGTATTTTTAGCCTGAAGCATAGGAACAAACACAAAAATAATTGAAAAAAATAATTGAAAAAATTCAAATGGTTTGCATGCACTGTATCATGTGATCAATTACCTGTCTCCCCACCCCCACCCCGCTCATATCTTATTGAAGTTGGCACCTCTGGCCAGAAGAAGAGAAGATTATATGGAAGCATGACAGCTGACTTCAAGTATCTGAAAGGCTTTCATTCCCTGTAGCTCAAAGGGCAGGCTCAAATTTGTAGAGAAGTAAACTTTTGGTTGAATACTAGTCGAAACCTCCTAACAATAAAGGCTGTCTGATACTGTAATCAGTGGGCAGTGGGCAGTAGGCTGAGTTAAATTATTTGCAGGGTCTCTCAACTCCTTCCTCTAACTCTGTCTCCTCCATTTATTCATTAATTTCAGAACATTAAAAAAGGAGTTGTGAAATTACGTGGTGGGTGTGGGTGTGTGGGTGTGTAGCATGCTATTGTAGTAAGTTTAGTGTTCTCAAACAGATAGAAAACAGTAAGTAACTATTTCCATGGCATTGTTAGCTGCCAGCTGCCACAGGACAAAAAAGCTATTAAAAGCACAGTTAAAGCAGGCACATCAAAAGTTCGCAACTCTACTGTTCTGCAAAAGCCTTCAAGCACATTTTTAAACATTGTTTGGC